GCTCAGGTCATTATCCCAGGGTCCTGGGATCGAGCCCCGCATCAGGCTCCCTGCTCAGCGGAAAGCCTGCTTCTCCCTCTCCCACTCCCCCTGCTTGTGTTCCTGTTCTCACTCTCTCTCTGTCAAATAAATAAATAAAAAATCTTTAAAAAAAAAAAAAGAGAAAAAATGTCAAGGATGCAGAGTGTAGTGAGAATGGAACCCCTCCCAGAATTAAGAGGCTATTTCAGCTTGTGAGACATAGGAAGGCCTACAGGTAGTATGGCTGCTGGAATTCAGTGCTGGAAGTCTCCAATATATAGGAAGCCTCTGCATATGAATGATCACTCAGGAACAAGAGATGCCTCTTCCTTCCCTCTCCCATGTCATCAAGGGATGCCATATGTTGGGATGCATAGAAAATCCAATGCTGCAAACCTGAGCATACTTTCTGGCCCATATTTAGAAAAATGGACACCAAAAGAAATTGTCTGAGGTTCTTGTGAAGACGGTTCACCGACTGTAGGTCTAAAGACCCCATGAGGCCCGACTGCAGAGATTGAGGCTGAGCAAGATACAGAGCAGGCCCCCACATGCCAGGAATGCCCCACATCCTCTCGATGGCTTCAGTCTATGTGTGTTATTCAGAAATAATGTGAATCTATAAAATTGCCCTCTCTGCCACATATGTGTCTGAATCCAGGTAACCAATGAGCCTCCGAAAGGTCTACGTGCAAATATCAGACGAGCATTTACTGAAATGACACCTTCGTTTTTTGAAGAAAATATACTTGGAAGAAAATGGAGACAAATAATATTTGGCATTTGCTTCTTCCATGCAATTATTCAGGTACACTTAATTTTTGCTTTTTAGTAGAAACAAGAAAGTGCATTATGTTAATAAATTTTTTAAAAAGTGGGAATTACATGAGAGCTTACAAGTGGCATTGTGAAGTGCTGAGGCCCAGTTCAGGGTCTAAACCCAAGTTGTTCTCCCTCAGTGGCTGATTTCTCTGTACTCCCCTCACCTCAGCAGCTCACGGCTTTGCCTCCCAGCTCTACTCTGATCTGACCAAAGGACACCATTACCTGGATAAATGTACAAGGTTAAATTCAAAAGCACAAGGGCGCCTGGGTGGCTCAGTTGGTTAAGCGACTGCCTTCGGCTCAGGTCATGATCCTGGAGTCCCGGGATCGAGTCCCGCATCGGGCTCCCTGCTCAGCGAGGAGCCTGCTTCTCCCTCTGACCCTCCCCCCTCTCATGTACTCTCTCTCGTTCTCGCTCTCTCAAATAAATAAATAAATCTTTAAAAAAAAAAAAATTCAAAAGCACAAAATTGATCTCCTGAGCTATGCCTCACTCCCAAATCTGCTTCCCTCCAGGCTCTACTTCTGAAATCGGTGGTCTCATATCTCCATAATTTCAGGATTATTTTTATTATCCCTTCTTTGCACATATCAGTCCATTATTTTTCTTGCAATAGTTTCATTCTTGCCTATTCCTATTTGAGTGGGCTCACCACACTTAAGAGCCTCTTCCCTGTGACCAGAGCCCCAAGTCCCCTGAAAGAGGATCTTCAACTCAGTACTACTTTCTCCTTCCCTCTGCTCAAAGCTCACTGCTGTGATTTGGTGTCCATCCTGTGACCCTGCACTTAAATTCTGATTCTTTGACTACATGTCTCTACATGGTGTCTTGATTAGACTGGCTGCCTGGGTTTCAAATGTGTATGGTCTCCAGAGAAAGAACCTGTAAAGAAAAAAACAAAGATTAAAGATGCAAAATACAGAATAAATAAGTAAACAAGATCCTAGAGGAGATCCGTGAGGCTGGGACCAGGGGCTCCAGGTGTGAGGCCCCCGTTGTACAAAGAAAAACAGCTGAGGTAGGGAGGTGGTTCAAGACCTAGGGAAATTTTAAGATCAAGAGGAGGGAATATGAGACCTCTCATATAATCATTAGTTTGGAATTAAGAAATTAAGATGGGATAGGGAGATAATGAGGAAAGGGAAAGACTTCACTATGTGAAGTCATGAAACAAGGGTTATGATTCTGTGTACCAGTTTAAAAAAAAAAAAAGATGTCACTGCAGAGAAGTCAGTATGTAATCAGCACATTGTGACATGACTGAAAAGCCTAGGTGATAGACGCCTTAGAAGAGTAGAGAGTAGTTCTTGCCATCAGATGGATGATTAGTGTCAGAATTTTTTTTTCTTTTTTGCCTATTTTGATGGGGAAATATTTTATTTTACCATGAAGGACAAATGTCCTTTTCACAGATCTATCATATTTCCAGTAATGTCAAATTTTCTCTCGGAAATTTTGGAGAAGAGCTAGGACGGGAAGAGATGCCACCCATGTTTGCTGTAAGCCAAACTGAAAGCCTAGATGAAGTTGAACTTCATGATCTTAACTGATTTTACAGAATGAGGATGCCCAACTTCAACAGAAACCTTTAATTTCTCAATATTTTATAGAGTTAATTTTATCAAATTTTATGTAAGACTATTTTCATTTTCCCTTCTAGGAGAGAAAAAAGTTTGGCCCCCTTGGTTGGAATATCTGCTATGAATTTAATGACAGTGACAGGGAATGTGCTTTACTAAACCTCAACCTTTATTGTCAAGAAGGAAAGATTCCCTGGGATGCGTTGATTTACATTACTGGTCAGTATGCCCACATGGCCAGGCCATGGCCCATATAAAGATGGCATCCTTTCCCCAGTGTTTGATAGTGGTGATGATGATTCTGATAGTCCCTTTGTAAAGATAAGACCATGATAAGAATATCATGAGAATATTTACACATAGAAAATGGGCATATGTTTTCCCAAATAATAATAGCAGAACCTTATATCTCTCTTGATACATGCCAAGTACTGTGTTCAGCACTTCCCAAGAATTAGCAGATTTAATCCTCACAACAACCCTATGAGGTGAGGACTGTTATATACCTATTTTATACATGAGGAAACTGAGGCACACAGTTTGCAGGTGGTGGAGCCAAGATTGAAATCCAGTCAGTCTAGCCTCGAGAGTATGCTCTTAAATTCAAAAGAATCTGAACATTGCTTGACTAGTAGAGACCTGCTGATTCAGGTATACTTGTGAAAAAGGAAAAAATATTTCAGGAATACAATTTTTAGCAAATACTAATTGTGGCCACATGGGACCTTGTGCCAAAAAATTAGGTCCAATGTGGAATATGTAGGCCCGAATAATGAAGAAATGATTTGCACTGGGAAGTGGGGGGAAGAAGAGCACTCTGAAAAGGGGCAGAATGGGAATGGGTGGTTTTTACTGGTGAGTAAGGGAAATGGGGAAGAACAGAGAGGGTTCAGGTGACCTAGAGCCTTGAAAGGCAAATAAACCTTGGAAATGGAGGGCAGTGAAACAACAGTGAAAATGAATGAAGACCATCCTCAGAGTGGACCAAAAGGGGTGGTCTTGGAATCTAGGGGGCTACTTTATACTCTGGCCTCCAGCACTCCACTACTCCAGTGGGGCCAACACTGCTTAATAAAATGGTGATGGACAACTGACCTTATATTGATGATCAGCTTACTTTCAACAAAGGTATCAGGGCGGCTCAATGGAGGAAGGATAATTTTTTCAACAAATGATGCTGGGACTGTTAGATATCCAACTGCAAAAGAATGAATTTGGATCCTTATCTCATATAATACACAAAAATTAATTCAAAATGAGTCCTATAAGAGCTAAATGTAATAGCTAAAACTATAAAGCTCTTAGAAGAAAGCATAGAAGTAAATCTTTGTGACTTTGGGCTAGGCAATGACTTATTAGATATGCAAAAAACACAAGCAATAAAGAAAAAATAATAATGGACATCATCAACATTTAAAACTTTTATACTTCAATAAATACCATCAAGAAAGTGAAAGGACAAGCCACAGACTGAAGGAAAATATCTGCAAATCATATGTCTGATAAGGCACTTGTATACAAAGTGTATAAAGAACACTTACAACTTAACAGTGAAAAGAAAAATAAACCAATTTAAAAATGGGCAAAAGATTTGAACAGACATTTCACCAAAGAAGACATATAAATGCCCAAAAAGCACATGAAAAGATGCTCCATCATTAAGGAAATGAAAATTAAAGCCACAATGAAATACCACTTTATACCGGCTAGGATGACTATAATTAAAAAATGAAACAATGAAAAAAGAGTAACAAAGTGTTGGTGAGGATATGGAGAAAGTGGAGCCCTCATACATTGCTGGTGGCAATGTAAAATGGTGCCACTACTTTGGAAGATTTTTAAAATAGACTTACTCTATGACCCAGAAATTCCTCTCCTAGGTATATACCCAGGAAAAAAATGAAAACACATGTCCACACAAAAACTTTGTACATGTTTATAGCAGCACTGCTTCATAGCCAAAAAGTGGAAACAACTTGAACTTCCATCAGCTGGTGAATGGAAAAACAATGTGGCGTATCCACACAATGTACTATCCAGCCATAAAAAGGAATAAAGTATGGATACGTGCTGCAACATAGGTAAACCCCATACACTCTATGCTAAGTAAAAAAGTCAGGCACAGGGCACCTGGGTGGCTCAGTCAGTCAAGCATCCAAGTCTTGATTTGGGCTCAGGTCCTGATATCAAGGTCCTGGGATTGAGCCCTAAGTTGGGATCCACACTCAGCGGGGAGCCTGCTTAAGATTCTCTCTCCCCCTCCCTTTACCCCTCCCTCTGCTCGCTCTCTCCCTCCCTCCCTCTCTCTCTAAAATAGTCTTTTTTTTTAAGTCAGCTCAAAATACCACATTGTATGATTCCATTTATATGAAAGTTCCAGAAAAACCAAATGTATACAGACAGAAAGTAAATTCCTGGTTGCATGGAGCAGGGGCAAGAATGAGGAGTGACTGAGAAGGGGCACAAGATTTCTTTTGGGGGATGATACAAATGTTTTAAAATTAGTTTGTGGTGACGGTTACACACACATTGCAGGTTTACTAAATATTACTGAATTATACATGTAAATTTTATGTGGATTTTATGATTTTTAAATTATAGCTCTCTATTAAAGCTGTTTTTAAAAAATGGATAGGAGCAAAAAGGCAATGAATGCTTTATCCATAGGGTGGTATTTTCGGCAGTCATTTATGCATTAATCCAGAAAATACTGCCTAATACTACTACAAGAGATGCTAGAAATACAAAGATGACATAGACCCTGCCTGCCAAAAACTCATGGCATGGAGGGTGGAGATAATGAATAAACTCTACGTTAGGATAATACCAAATCAGAAGTGTCTGCGCAATGCTGTGGGAACTAGGAAGGAACAACACTACCCCGGGGGAATCCGGGAGAACTCTGCTGGGAGCTAAGTGCTGAACAGCTACATTGAGCTAAGTTGGGCTCACTGGGAGAGGAAAGGCAGGAGAGCACACTGGGCTGAGAGAATCATGATGTAAAAGCCCAACGGGTTGAGGTGTGGCCTGTCTGTAGAACTTGTGAGCAATTCCGTTGGGCTGGTGCATAGTAGGAAGAGGGGATGTACATGGAGGGGAGCTTTATCTTCAACAAAACTAAAAATGGTAAGCTGGGGGCACAACCTGAAAGGCCTGTGTGTGTTGTTAATAAATTTTGGTTCTACTTTGTAATCAATGATTGGCAATCATAGTCCTTTAGGCTGTAAAGAGGTACAATAATTTACAAAGCTATAATAAAAGCAACATGAAGGACTGAACAAGAAGATACAGAAACACCAGTGGGGAAACTAAACAGGAGAGAATAGGGGCACCTGGGTGGCTCAGATGGCTAAGTGTCTACCTTCAGCTCAGGTCATGATCCCAGAGTCCTGGGATCGAGCCCCATGTTGGGCTCCCAGCTCAGCAGGAAGTCTGCTTCTTCCTCTCCCTCTGCCCCTTGCCCTGCTTGTGCTCTGTCTCTCTCTCTCAAATGAATAAATAAAATCTTAAAAAAAAAATAAACAGGAGAGAATAAACAGAAATACTGAGGAGGCTTTAAATATGAGAAGGTATTTGGGGGTGGGGAAGGTCTTAAAATTTTATAGTGTAAGGTATAGCAATACATAATTCCAGGAGACAGATCTAAGCTCAAAGTAGGCAAGGACAAAGCCAAACCTAAGGCCTGTCCAGTTTGTATTGGGCCATCCCTGAGCCAGCCTCTGGGGATAGAAGAGGAAGAGAAGGGGGAAGCCACCACACTGGAATCTGCAACGAGACCCTCGGGGACTGTGATGTCAGGGCCAGGACAGGTGGTGGGCATGTATGGTGGACACTTCCTCCTCAGGTCCCTCTTCTGGGAAGACCAAACCCAGAAGACTCCTTCCTAAAATTGAGCCCAAAAGTGGGTCATCTACTCTGAGTCAAAATTATTTACTCAGTTTGATCCAAGAAAAGGGTAAAACTCAATCTGGATGGAGAAGCACAAAGTCTGATGATTTGTAAGGAAAATATTTCTGTGCTGCTTCTCAAAATGCAGATATTGTCCTTTGTGACAAAAAAAGTACTTTAGGGCAACTCTTTCCTCTCACCACCTACCAACTATAGAAGTCTTAGTTTTCCTGGCCATCCTCCTTTTCCAGACACCATCATGCAGTTGGAGAAACTTGAGTTTACATTCCCATCCAGCCCCAAAGATCCAAGAGGAGCCTCAATTTAGGCCCAGACCTGATGGACCCACTACAAAGATGTAACCGAACTTTGTGTTCCAAGACTTCCTAGAAGGTGACAGAAGAATATACCCAGGAAAATACAACAGCATCTCTTTCTTCCCTCTTAGAATTGCTAATACGGAGATTTAGCTACTTGACCACCGGCTATAATACCTACTCTACCTCCTCTCCCCTCCCCCTGAGTGGTTGATCCAACACAACAGACCAAAAATGCTTCAACAGGAGAGGGAAAATAAGTGTCCCTATGAGAGGTGCAAGTAAAGACATTGCTCCCTTAGAAGAAATAAATTATTGAGATTCCAAAGACTGAAATAACTTTCTTTCACCAACCATCTCAGCTTGAAAGAGAATGAAAAACATTTCTTCCTGACATAATGGAAGATACAGAGATGAGAATGGCTGAACATTCAGAGAATCCAGAAGTTGAGTGTCAGTACCATATGCAAATCCTTCTGGGAACACTACAGTGGTAAATAATGAAATGTAGCAATGGATCTGGAGTTTTCCCAAGGAATTATATCAGCAATGATATTATTCCAAAGAAGAAAAATATCATTCCTCTTAGAATTTTGGGATGACTGTGGAGCATGCTGAAAGTAGCTTCTCTGTGAAAAAAGAGATGGGGTACTAATAAGTTTTAATTCCCCACAACATAATTTCTGTGAGGCAAGTTGTCTCTTTCACCTTGGACCTATCTTTCCTTCCTAGCTTAATTTTAATAATTATAAAGTATGCATACAGTTTCAATGTCTTGTAAATGTTTTGGTTCATTTACTGGCCTCAGAAAGAATCAGTGTTGCATAGGAAGTGTATATGTTTTAGAATACTGTGATCAATGATGGAATAAGACCCAAAATCAGTATTTTGCAGCAAAAGAAGAAGAGGAAGAAGAGGAGAAAGAGGAGGAGGAGGGGGGAAAAGAAGAAGGAGGAGGAGGAGGAAGAGGAGGAGGAGGAGGAGAAGGAAGGAAGGAAGGAAGGAAGGAAGGAAGGAAGGAAGGAAGGAAGGAAGGAAAAGAAAGAAAAAGAAAGAAAGAGAAAGAAAGAAAGAAATAGAGCTCAGTGGCTTTGGTTCTGGTTATTTGGGGAAAGCAAAATAATTAGGGTAGGGGCACCTGGGTGGCTCAGTTGGTTAAGCGACTGCCTTCGGCTCAGGTCATGATCCTAGAGTCCCAGGATCGAGTCCCAGGATCGAGTCCCGCATCGGGCTCCCTGCTCGGCAGGGGGTCTGCTTCTCCCTCTGACCCTCCCCCATCTCATGCTCTCTCTATCTCATTCTCTCTCTCTCAAATAAATAAATAAAATCTTTTTTAAAAATAAATAAATAAATAATTAGGGTAGGGTACATATACTAGGTTTTTTCCTGCCTTTTATTCTCTGAAGGAAACTCTGATATGCTCTTTTCACTTTCAGTTCCAAATAAATGTGCATATAAATAAACCTATTGGAATTTGGCTAAGCATATCAATAAAAAATATGTTTAAAAATGCAAACTCCTTTTCAGGTGAAATTACATATGGTGGTAGAGTTACAGATACCTGGGATCAAAGATGCCTTCGTACGGTCTTAAAAAGGTTCTTTTCTCCTGAAACATTAGAAGAGGATTATAAATATTCGGAATCAGGTGAATGACTTTTCAATATTCCGGAAAGGACCTTTTGCAAAATGTCATTGGCGGCATCTCTCAGTTTTTCATCCAGGAGCTCTCGGTGTCCAGTCATCACAGCCCAGTCCCCACGCCTGCCCGCCCCAGCCCCACGCTTGACCATCTCCAAAAGTGGCTTGGCAGTTAAAGCACGAAAATATCTTTTGTGCAGTAGCCACTTGAATTATTTGCTCTAAAATGGGTTGTATTTGGTCTAAATGTGTTTTCAAAGTTCTATAAATTTGGAACCCTTTACCAAGGCATGGCTTTCAGCAGCACATCCCTGGATTCCCAGAATCTTGAAAGGTTCTGGAGGAGACACCCTGAAAGAGTAGGAGACTAATCACATGCTCAAGGCCTCAAGAAAAGGGAAAGCGACCAGGCACAGTAATGAAGGCAAGGAGGGTGGGGAAAACAATCCCCTTTTCTGTGGAAGGCACTTGATTATAGCCACCATCTGAACAGGCAGAGAAGGACTAACATTGGTGGTACAAAGCTAGTCTATTTGAAACATATCTGCCTTCTGTGTTTTCAATAAACAGGCATCTATTTTGCACCTTTGGCTGACAGCCTACAAGAGTTTAAGGACTACATTGAAAATCTGCCTTTGATGGATGACCCAGAAATATTTGGAATGCATGAAAATGCCAACCTAGTTTTCCAGGTATGTGGCCTTTTAGCCTAAAATACATTTTCATATTGTGTATGTAAACTTGAAACATCAATAATCATCTCACTAGTCCCATAAATTATTATATCCTTAAATAACCAAAGTAAATGTTTCACCTCAACTTCAGCATTCGATTCCAATTTAGCCTGTTCCCTCTGGATCCTTCACAGCATCCTAAGATCCATGCATTTTTCCCTGTCACTGGCCACTCCCCCACCTCCCGGCCTTCTACCCACTAGTCCACCTTAACTTGGGAATTTGGACGATAATCCAGACAGTCCTTTCTCTTTTGCCCTTTTCCCTCCACACTGAGCAAATCTGTATCATATTACACAAAGGTTTATGGATCCACAGATGATTAAGTTATAAAAGTACAATAACAAACATCCAAGACAGATAAAACAGTGTTCTTTAAAATTGTGGTCCATCAGGTCACAGTGCCAGACACCAGCAATAGGTCCAAAGAGCAGACTGGATCATTTCACTCCTCTAAGACCTTCTGATGCCCCACCATTACCTAGGGGTAGTCCAAGTTTGTCAGCATGGCACCTGAGGCTCCTCCATTGCCTGTGCACTACATACCTTTCCGGTTTATTCATCTGCCATGGTCAGGAATCTGTGGATGAACCAAAGTCATGAACTAAGGTCTGTCGCTTGGGGCCTGGAATACTATAAAGGTTGGAGACTAGGTTTGGCTCACAAGGGTGAAGGGAATCATCTTCCTTTCAACTTAAATTTTGCCCATACAAGTGTTAGAGGGGGAGGTCTACCTAGATATCACTGAATCCATAAGAAACAACAGTGGAACTTCCAGAAAAAAACCCAGGAGGTCAATGCTCTGCCACCTTATGTCATGGTTCTCTGCCATAAAAAATTGCTTTGCTGTTTAGCAAGGAGTTAGAATATTATCTTGTTTTTCATTATTCTGCTTTCAGGAAGAAAAAGAGGTGGCCAAACAAGTGTTAATATTCACTCATATCTGACAGTTTGTTCTGGAGTGGGTGGGGCATGGGGCGGGGTGGGGGGGAGAAGGGAAAGGGGAGTGTAGGTATTGTAAGACTTGCTGCATCCTGTGAGAAATACAGCATTGTTGGCAGAGGTAACACTCTTGGCAGTGTGCACCGAGGAGTGTAGTTTTGTGTTTTCCATTGGTTCACAATGACTGAGAATGAGACAGCAGGCATGTAGTGAGCACAGTGGTACGCTTTTCAGTCTAGCCTCCCTTCCTCCATTTTTCTGGTAGAGTATATGCCCCACTCCCAATCTCCTCCTTTTGGGATAACAGCCCCTTCCTCATTCCATGAAATTCTGGTAAGACCTCCTTACCTTCAGAGGTGGGCATGTGACTCAGGCCTGGCCAAAGGCAGTACTCCATCACCTAGCCACTGGAATTGGTCCAAAGAACAGGTACATGGACCAGCTTGGGTGAATGAGAATTCTTCCCTAAGCTTTAGTATATATAGATGCTAGGATTGGGAGAGGGATTTCTCTTTCCTTTGGAATCACTGGCTAGGATACTGCATATCTGGAGCTGTCTGTGGCCTTATCATTGACGCTCAACCCATTCCCCCTACCACACAGAAGAAGCTCATCTGCCATAGGAAAGAGAGAAACAACCAAGCATGTACTGGTGAGAAAACATTAGATCCATTCATGCCTGAGACCCGTGTGACTTGTGTTCTCTTCTTCCCAGTGTATGAGCCAACAGATTTCTTTGATTAGCTGCTTTAGGTTAGCTAATTCTGCCTGCCATCAATAGAGTCTTTTTTTTTTTTAATTTATTTATTTGAGAGAGAGAATGAGACAGAGAGAGAGAGCACG